ATACAGGTATGTTGTGTATGTAATGCCATTGTGTTGTAAAATGTGTTAAATATTAAAATTTTAAATTTTAAAATGTTTAAAAAATGTTAATATTTAATACATTTTATAACATAAGGACATTACATAAACAGTGTACCTATACAACTCACTTCCAATGTGTAAACAATGACCAGTGTATGGGGGCATAGCGGATACAGTGAACAGTGATTGTAACAGCCGTTTGTACCTGATGATGGCCGCAATAGGCTGACACATGCAGTACATGCAGATGCATTGTGTGTTTATGCCAGAATTGTGGACTTAATAATTATAAATGTTGTCTTAAAATATGATGCAACAGTACAATATTTATGATGTGATCTACATTTAATGCTGTGTATGAGTACTGCTCCACCCACCATCTGCTAAAGTTGCCACTAACTGTAGGCATCAGTTTTTAAGATATTGAGCTGTTACACTGGCATTGTAATATTAATTCAGACTATTCATTGCATCCCATTAATGTAAATTTAATCCAGTGACTCATTGCTCTTAACAGCTGTTGAGAGGGGGGCTAAATTTCTCCTGTGCTTAAGCATTGTGCCATGTGTATATAGGATCTGTATATATGGAAAAGTAGGGGGTAAGATTCTTAGAGATCTCAACCTTGGCACTTGGAATTAGCCCCCAGCCTTAGAGCTGGTCTGGATGTGGTACCAAGGGGTTGAATCTACCTGTGCTAGAAATTAAATCTTGGCAATCCAGCCTATAGCCAGTTACTTTACCGGCTGAGCTATTGCAGCTGAATCTGAACATGTGCTGCACAGCCATGTAAAAGCCTTTATTCTTGTAATGAACTGAACAAGTTGGTCTGGAGATAATGCTTTAGGTTTGAATTTGGAAGAAGCTCAGTTTGATCCTCAAGCCAAGACACCAGGTATCATGACTGATGCTTTTCATGGGTTTCCTCATTCCTTCATATAGATGCTGGTAGTAGTACCACAATTATGCCATGACGACTACTCTCAAAATCCTTTCAAATTCATCATCAATCAGTCACCCTAGCATCCAATGCTATATAGTCTGTACACTACCAGTATCATTAATAACCTCGTGCCCAAAAAAGAAAAATATTTCTTTTAATGAAGTGACTTCACAATAAATCTCCAGTGAATTTGGTTCTATCGTTAAAAAAACTTTGCTCATTGAAATTAAACACATCAAACCATGTTAGCTTCTGTAAGCAAATAGCCCATACATTTAAACAAAGTAAGAGAGCGAGTGTGTAGTCCATAGCATTTTTTTCCGTGGCAATTCTTTAGAGGCAATGAAAGTCACACTGTTAGTGATTGGCACTCCTGCTTTGTGTTTGGGGCACCCAAAGTTTGAATGTTTTACTATAGACTGATTTACTGACTGAGGTCTTTGTGTGTTTCCTCAGTTCCACCAAGAAAATTATTTTGTGGTGTATAACTTGTACAGGCATTCTTCAGCTTTTAGGACAAGAATCTTGCAGCATAGTTTTAAATAGAGGAAATAAAGTGTGTACTTCAAGCATGATTAATTTTTATAATTGGCACTATAAAATTTTTCTCCAAAATGCCTTTAATTTCATAAAATTGTCATGCTGACAGAATCTTCACAAGGCATGTCTGATAAACTCTTTCCCTTCCCCTGCATTGTTTGTACAAATTGTGCCCCAAATCCATAGATTGAAGGTTATTGAAGGGAGTAAAAACTATGTACCTTAGTATTGTCGTGTATCGGGCGTATATCGCGACAAATAAATTCATGCCGTATTTGGTATAGCGAATTTTATTTCACATTCGCACCTACAATCACCCAAATTACAGATTTACGATTACTGCTATCTGCAGTATCACAAATAGTACACTCCAAATGGCACAATACATCTGACTGGTTGCTGGCTAACTCAGAACTAACTCGGAGGTAGCTCCAGGACTGACTGACTGACTGACTGACTGACTGTGAATAGCCTTCGCTGCTCCTTATGTAGCCTTGATCGGACAATTGTCGTCAGGTGCCGTGTTGCTAGCCACGCTGCCCGGAGTTGTTGACTGCTGCCTAGCAACCGCGATATCCCTCGGTGATGTCACCGCTGCTTACTCGCTTTGCATAGCTTCAAGGTTGCGGGGACTCGGCTAACGTCGGCTCCACTCGGCTCACTTCGGCTCCACTCGTGACGTCACCGCGGGGAGAGTTGCGGGGTGATTACTCGCCTATTACACGAGCGCTACGTTACCGCTACGTGCAGCTGGGGAGGTAGGGGTCAACATGTCACACTGCTCCCTCCTTAAGGCTGTTCGTCCCGAATAGCCTAACGGTGCATCCCCGTTCCTTTTCTTTGGAGGCTGTTCTTGCAGCATCTCCTGTTTTGGATACTTCTCGCAGCGACTATCATCCGGCCGTTACAACAGCTCCCCTCTTAAGACCTGCTCGTCTCGAGCGGTTTCCTTTCAGCTCGCCAGAAGGTCCAGTTGTGTCCCATTCATCCATCAGTTTCATTCTATGGCACATTCACTCTCTCTGGGGAGGCCGGTTCTTCTAGTTTACCGGCTCCTTTTCTGTGCCCTGCGTCTTTTTTTTCGTTTTGGAGGGGGTCGACCCCTCCATAAGTTCCACTTTTTTATTTTCCGTAACCCGTTGGAAGTACCGACTGCTTGTGTCGCGAACCTTCCACTGAAGATTACGTTGCCGGTCTTCTCCCTCAGGCGTAGTAGTTCCTCCACGTCCTGGTTCCTTATGCCCTTGCTGCATCTCCGTTGTGGCTGACGCCGCCTCCCGGACGTCTGTCCTGTCACGGTTCCCATCCTTCCTTTCCCGGCTTCTTTCCCAGCATTGACCCTCGTTGAGCATCTCCTTACAGGATCTCCCTTGCGCCGTGTCGCACCTGCACGACTAGTCATATTGCTGTCGGCAGCCAATTCGTGCCATGGGCCACAATTTCCTTGGGTTGTAGATTTCTTGAAGATGTTGCGTTTGCGCCAGGCCACTGTTGCGCGGCGGGACACCTTCCTATGGACGATGGCCAATTTATTCTGGGGTCCGCAATTTTTCCGTGTCGGGTTCTTCATATTTCGTCGATGTCGGTCCTGACGCCTTTTCTTCTTCGGTTCTCCGACCGGCATTACTGCGGCGTCTTGTACGGGTACCTCAAGTAGTTCTGCCGCCTCAGGTTTCCTGTGCACTGAAACCGGCTTTTCATCTTTTGGACGTGCCACCGTTTCTTGGTAGGCCATCGTCACTCCGACCGGTATAACTATGGGGACCACTTCTTGTTGTGCCGTCGCAGGTTTTATGTCCGCTGTGGCTGGCTTTTCCTCTTCTAGATGTACCTCCGTTATCTCTTTCTGCCAAGCATCCATATTGGCTTGCAACCTCTTCTCTCGCATGGCGGCCGTCCTTTCTTGGATGGCTCTCGTTCTTGCTTGGGTTGCTTTCATCTCTGCATCTAACTTTTCTCCCCAGGCGTCTAACTTCGCCATTAAATCTTCTTTGTCTCTCTTCTTATCTGCCTCCATTTTTTTCATGTTGGTATTTCTATTGGCTTCTGCCTTCGCCAGCATTTCGATTATTAGTTGAAAGCCCTGCTCCATTTTGTAGCAGTCAAATACTCGATGCACAATAATCCAATTATTTGTCAGGCGTGTTTAAGTTCGTAAAAATTCTGACACCAAATTGTCACGTGTTTCGAGTTCGAATCTCGTTGATCACGTGTGTAAGTCCAGATCCCACTTCTGACACCAGTTGTCGCGTATCGGGCGTATATCACGACAAATAAATTCACGCCGTATTTGGTATAGCGAATTTTATTTCACATTCGCACCTACAATCACCCAAATTACAGATTTACGATTACTGCTATCTGCAGTATCACAAATAGTACACTCCAAATGCCACAATACAACTGACTGGTTGCTGGCTAACTCGGAACTAACTCGGAGGTAGCTCAAGGACTGACTCAGAGGTAGCTCCAGGACTGACTGACTGACTGTGATAGCCTTCGCTGCTCCTTATGTAGCCTTGATCGGACAATTGTCGGCGGGTGCTGTGTTGCTAGCCACGCTGCCCGGAGGTGTTAACTGCTGCCTAGCAACCGGGATATCCCTCGGTGATGTCACCGCTGCTTACTCGCTTTGCATAGCTTCAAGGTTGCGGGGACTCGGCTAACGTCGGCTCCACTCGGCTCACTTCGGCTCCGCTCGTGACGTCACTGCGGGGAGAGTTGCGGGGTGATTACTTGCCTATTACGCGAGCGCTACGTTACCGCTACGTGCAGCTGGGGAGGTTATTTAAAACATGTCACAGTATTGATACTGTAAGTTATCTGTTGGCAGACTAAGTAATTTAGAGGAACTTAGTGAATGCTATAAGCTGAAAAATGTGCACCAACAATATTAAGATGTTTGTCTAGTATGTTTACTTGCAGATTCCCTCCATTATGTTTTTACCCCTTGTTTAACATTCTCATCTTCATATTATAGCTAGCAATGCTTTTGTAACTGCATAGAGTTATGTTATGAATGAAAATTGGAAGGATGTAATCATGTATTAAAATGTCCCCCCATAATTTTCCTGTAAGTAGTGAGAAAGATCCTAAGAAACACGTGTCTTGGTTTATTTAATAATTATTTGTTAGTTACATAGGTTATAAAGGATAATTTTGATTTAAAATGTTTAGAAGAATATGGAAGGAACAGTAATGGCCTATTTAAAGGTTCTGCCCCAGTATTTATCTCAAGCAGAACTGAAGAAACAATTGAAAAGTTCCCTCTGGGCCAAGAATCAAATTGTACATTGTTCAGACATGAAGCAGAATTGCTAAATGCTTGACTTAATGTTCAGTGCAAAGAAAACTTTGTGTTACATATGAGTTGTGAAACTGTTCACTGTGAAGAATTGCTGCATAATGATATTCAGTAACTAACATGAAACCCTTCCCTGTGTCGAGTAAAGAGAGACATTCATACTTATATTAAATATTTCTCTTGTACCAACTGTTGTTCGAGCGCGGATGAGGAAGAAGATCCTGACACAAAGGCTGCACGGGAGAAGGAGCGCAGACAGGCCAACAATGCACGCGAGAGGTGAGTGGAGAGCAAACACGCAAACGCTGCCTCGTGACTCTCTTACATTGCTTGGCCAGTAGAATGTTGTCATGTGACCACTTTTTCTTTAAGAAGTTTATATGTGTCCGTATGTACTGATTTCAGTTGCTGATGATTAATGAAAGTAAATTATCATCTCAGTTTCAGGAAATATCCGTTTGTCATCATACAGTTCTACAGAAATTTATCTTGTTTCATGCATTATTGGTTCAAAAGTTGGTGTCAGTTTTGGCTTCATGATGGTACTGACTTTTTTATAATGGCAGGTTTCAACCTTATGTGTGTATGTTGTACCTAATCAGTTTTTAATCCACAGAAAAATTCTGCCACATTTGTTTCCACAGTCATTAAACAACAGAGTACTCCATATAACATTGTCACATTCTTTTGGCCAGTATATGTCTTGCATGCAATTTAATTTTATTGTATTGTTGTTCCTTTTTACAGCAACAGGTTTGGTGGAAGAAAATTAAATATTAATTGAACTGATTGAAGATAATGTAGAAGTGTGTTGTATTAATGCCAAGTGAGTTGAGGATTTCAGCTTTTAGCTTGATGGTCGTTTTCCATGAAGATTTTGAAACCCTTGTCATACTGTTCCTGTGAATGTTTATTAAACTTATATTTGGCAGTAAAGCCATGTGCTACAAACCCATTAACCATGCTTCAGGGTGATGTCTTTCTGTCTTGACAAGATAAAAGGAAAGTGATCTGTATCAGACATGAAGTTTTCTTAATCTTTACGTATAAATACAATAAAATCTTTTAGGCAACAGCCATGTTGATACAGGATGAAAGTCCATCTTTTCCAAGACAGTAATTTCACAATGTTATATTTTAGCGTCCTGTTGCACTGATTTAAGTCCATGATTTATTTTATCCGTCTTCTAGTGCATACATTCATCTGCCCCTCTTCTCACTATCACTACATGTTTCGGCACAAATGTGCCATCTTCAGGTGCTGATCCAATCCACGACAAACTAGTTCATTGCATGCCTTGTCTATACATACTAAAATAACTAAAATATATATTTATCATATATACTGATAAACGTTAAGTGTTAAAATATTAAAATTATACAGCATATTTCATTCTTACGTCGTGTTTTATTACGCGAGTCACGTCTATCATCGTCTGTTGGAGCACTCTTTCACTATCGTGTATCTGTAACATGAATTTGTTATTCATTAATACCGCGTTCCGCATCCTATCTATTACTTGTGGTATTATAATTTTAATGTTTAATACTCACTGTGCTCTATGTTGCGTCTCGCTCCTGTGACTGCATGTGTTATACTGCTGGACCTGCTGGGTATGTGTGTGTGTGTGCTGTCTTCGTTTTGAGTGAGTTATGATGTTGTGGGCGTAGATGTGGTGGGGGTACTTGGTGGGGTGTTGTTATGTTGTTCTGTGTAGATGTTGCTTAATTCGTGGTATATTGGGTTATTTATTTCTTTATTTATATTATTCATGTGTGTGTTTTTCTTTGTCGTTCTATATATATGGTAGTTCTCCAATGTGTTCAAGTATTGCCCCTTCCTACCTGTTGCTATGATATCCATAGTGTTTTCTATAGTACCATATGCATGTCCTGTGTTTAATATGTGTTCCGAGTATCCTGTATTGCTGTTATTGTGTCTTATGTCATGTATGTGTTCTTTATATCTGGTATTAAATTTCCTCCCGGTTTGTCCTATATATTCCTTGGGGCAATCTAGGCATTTCATACTATATATGCCGCTATTGTTATATTTATTTATTTCTGGTCTTGATTTTAGTATATGTTGTAAATTGTTCTTAGTTCTAAATGCTATTTTTAATTTTGTGTCTCGAAATAATTTTGTGATATTTCTTGTTTCTTTCCCTATATATGTGAATGTTGCCCATTTCGTTTTTGTTTTTTGTTCTTCTGAATCCTCTGTGATGTTCTGCTGCTTTGCAATGTTTTGTTTTCTGTTATTTGTAGTTAGTTTTGTAATTATATCTGTGTTGTACTTGTTATTTATG